AATCAAGAAAACGGCTGGAAGAAATGTTTGCCAAATGAAGATTTGAGACACATCTTTTATTAAAACTAATTGAAGTGTACTTTATTCACCCTAAAAAATATCACATATTGCCCTGGGTATGAGTGGATAGGGAGAGTATGGGCATTAATTTAAAAAAACATTTGGAAACTACATGTAGCTCTTTAGCAGTCTAGTTATTGAGAAGGAATCTCGATGGAAATGGAAAAATTCCAAGTTGATAAAAATCTTCAGCACCATCCTCTATTACAACGTTAACTTTTTCTTCCTCGTTATTAGAACTCTGCACCACATTGGTGTATTTTGAATCTTTGAATTGAATGTGATTTTTATACCGCAGTCTTTGGACAATCTCTCAAAAGGCAGGAAAAATTTCGACGGAATTCCCTGGGATACCACCATGATATTCATAATGTGTTCATCATACATCTTAGGGTATGTTGGTTTTAATGGATCCATTGTATAAGGCGTTACCATATGTTTATCATAAAGTTGGTGAAACAGCTCCTGATATGTCATCGAAATTGGATCAAATTGCCTTGGCATATTTGATGATACAACCATGGTTGATTTCGGTTGTGAGACAGTGACGCCTTTACCAAAACCATAGGTGCTCATATTGTTTACCTCCCTTTTTTATTATTTAGAGTTGTCCTTCTATGGGATTCACTCCACTCGATCATTCATTTACGGCTAGCCTCCTCTAGGATTTATTCCCCTTGATATTCTCCATTCTTTTTATCATAAACCGATCGGGTTTTCTATCATCTTTTACTTATATTGATCCAAGAAAGACCTAGGAAGGTCCCTCCATGACCTGTTGTGAACTCGGTTCAGTTGATTGTACCAACAGATCGCTAGCTCTGTCAAACTCTCCTGGAAGTGGTGGATCAAAAGTTGGTGATTTCCTACATACCCTATCATTTTTCAGTAAAACATTGTGATATGGCAGAGGGACAACTCTTCCCATCGAACTTTTCAAAGTTCGAAACTTTAAATTTTGGAAGCATGATCATATCTAAGAGTAGACTAAGTTCCATAACATCAATTTCGTAGAGACTGTCTTCACCCTTCACAGTCTTCATTTGTTCTTCCAAATGTTTGATTTGTCCACCATCCACTTTGCCTTATCCTCTTTTTCGAAGTTCGGGATACGGTAATCCTGGGGTTGTGCACAGAGGATGATGCTTTCTTGGTAGAAGAGTTTCCAGGGTAGTATTGGAAAATTATGGCCACAATAACTAGCTTGAGAGCTTTTTTCTCCTTACTCCTTTAGATGTCCTTGTCGCAATGATATTTGCAAAGTTCAGGCCTGCAACCTGACCACAATATGATCAACCTGACTACTCTATTTTTGTGTGATGGTGTCCATATTAGTCTTATAGTTCTTATATATTCTTTCCTCCGGATCCTTTTGCTGCTTCTCGAAGTTGTGTTTTATATCCCTGAGTCTGCTTTCCATTTGCTTGGTTTTGAGTTAGGTGTTATGCGAATGTGGTGGGTCTAGTGTTTTCCATTGTGAATGAAAGAATCTTTATTAGTCATTTATGTTTTTATCATGAGTGTTGATAGGTTCTTTATTTAGTTATTATTTCGACATTAAATTGCTACTTAAATTTAGTTTTTGTGGTTGATTTGTTCGTTTTGATTCATTTTCTGTGCAGGACACCAGATTCTGGAAATTGCACTAAAAGGACAGAATTATGCAGGTTTTTTATTTTCGGAATCAAGGCTGGATTAGTGGGCATGACTCCGGGCATGACGCATATGACAAGGCGATGAGTCAACACCTTCTAGAAGGTCCAGTCAGTGCTTCTTGAAGGACGAATAGATCGGCTGCACGTTTTCATAATTCGAATTTAAGTTAAACTCATGTTTTTAGGATATTAGTTTAAATATTATATTATATTATATTTTATCTTATCTTATCTTTGTTTTTAGTATTTTAGTTTAAATAGTTTAAGTATTTTCATTAGTAATTATCTCTTTATTTTAGGAATTATATTTTCCTTATTTTTAGGATTTTAAAAGCTATAAATACCATCTCAGGGTAAGCCTAAAAACACATTCAGAAATCATTCTTCTTCTTTCCATTGGTTTTATAAAAGTTTTTTTCTTTTCTTTTTTAAAGTTCTTTTTTTTTTTCAAAGATGCTAAGTATGATTGCCATACTTAGATAATTTCTCCATAGCCATGGGCTGAAGCGATGACTCAATCCCTATTATGAGTATTGAAAAAGCACTAAAATAACTTCGAGTTATTTTCTCAATTTTCTAGAGGAATAAGATTGGTAATCAACCTATATTTTTAAAATCAAAACGTTTTTTAATCAAAAAGTCGACGTTGATTCGGAAGTTGTAAAGATTTATAGTTGGGAGGAAGATTCAGCTGGTAGCAAGTTCGACTTCCTATGAACACACATAGCGGCGGTCCGTTAAGGGAAATTGAGATCGGGCTCGATTCTCAATGAGGCAACATAGTCCAAGTCGGGTTTTTTCATATCTATAAAATATATTGGCGCTAACGGTGATAGTCGTAGTTAGTCTCCGTAAAGGACTGATATCCAAAAATAGATTTTGGGTTATCAGTTCACAAGAGAGAGAAACAAGTTACAGGGGTTGAGCCCTGTAGATTGCAACCAGCGAAGAACCGAAGCAAAAATTTATTCTGAGGATCAATAGGAATTTGAGGCAAAAGCTGAAGCCAAAGGCTAATTTGACTATAAGTTTCACTTTAAATTTATTTTATTAATTATTATCTTTTATTTTAAAAATAACTTTTAAACCCCCTATTTAATCTCATCCAAAATTCTACCTTATCTCATCCTTTTCTAAATTAGAAAGTTTACTTCATCAGAAACACCAGAGTCCCTCTGGACCAACCTGCTTCCCTACTCTACTTTCTCTTTCTTTATTTATTTTTTAGAAGACGAAATTATTTTGACAGTAAAACGACACATGTCAAGTGCATAGTAAGAAGTTAGTTGAATTAAAATGCCAAAATGCATGATTAATGCATGACGGGTTCGAGGTGTTGATCCAAAAAGTGTATGTTATAATAGAATAACATTCATTGACACAAAAGTGTTATTACAACAACGCCAAAAACATTTAAAGCTAAACTTGTGCTAGTTGCTCCAAACTTTGGACGACCTCTAATAGGTTTAAAATTCTTCTAGCTTCGTTATTCACGGGTAGAATTCCCTGGTTTACTATCTCGGCTTCTCCTACCAGACCACACAGGTGACGGGCAGTCTTCCGAACTTTATTTAAGAAATCTCTTATGACTATATCTCTGGCCTTCACTTTGCATTGAGCTTGTTCCCATCGAAATCGCCATTGGAGTCCTCTATCGTATAGGACTATCTAAATCTCACTCGCTTTCCTTTTGTATCCTTCCAGGATGCTGAAGGTTCAATGTTTTATTCTTCAGTGTCTGGATTGTTTTGTAGTGGAAAAAAACATCGTGTGTCCCTTGATAATGGACTTCATTTTTATTTGTAATTGTTTCTATAAAATCCAAATTAGAAATCGAGGTGGTTTATTTTAAGCAAAAATGTGTGCATCTGATTTTATAAATTAAATGTATATTAAATACATCTGATAGATGAACAGTTTGATTAGAATTTGACTTTTAAATAAATAAATAATTTTACTACTTGGTATTGATTTGATATATTTTATAATAAAAATAATAATAATTATTATAATAAATAAATCTATGTACAAACAATCTAGATATTTTGGAGTTGTTTTAGGGTTTTTAATTCGTGTATATTGGGGTGAGAGCAAGATTGCAAGTAAATCTTCTTTTATTTGCTCTATATCTATTGAATAGTGAAAAGTGCAGAAGTAACACCATTATGTTTACGTTAACCAAGAGACAAATTCATGATGACGGAAATCACTTTGACCACAATGGAAGTTAGGTAGGATGTGGGCGCATTACTTGTGTTTTATAGCCTGAAGGGAATGATGCTTGAATAGTGAGCTTTGATAGATGGAAGTAATTGTTATGCTTAGTATATTTGTTGCGCTTCATATATCTATGGTCGAAATACTTTAGCTAGCTTGTCATGTGCCTCAGTTTGGTAAACCTGACGAGTGTTCCATTTCTATCCATTGATTTCTATTCTTTTATTTTACTTACTTTTATTGTCTTCGTATTTCTTGCATTCACAACAAACTATTGCAACTCTTACTATTATAGTTCTCTTTTTATAGAGTTTTTCTTAACAACAGTAAAATAATATTAGCTCCATTCCCCGTGGGTTCAACATTCTTAGCCGAAAAGCTATCTCTATTCTGCAGACGACGGGTGTGAGCTTGCACTTATTGCGGTCACATATATATATCGATCAAGTTTTGGAAACATTTCTGGGGAACGACTTTGTTAATGTTTATTTTTGTTATTTCTTTCTTCTGTTTGTTTTTCTTTAATTATTATCCAACTTGTTTTATTTCTTTTACCTTTTCCATCGCAGTGACAACCTTCACGATCACAATGCATGAATAGGAGTAACCCCGATGATCTACTAAACTACGATTTGAACTTGAAAGAACTTTCAACTAGGGAAGGCAAGCAAAAGCTCGAACTCGCAAAGAGATGGTGCAGTGATCAATTCAATTTTTTTTTTTGTTCTTGTTTTAGATAATTTACAACCTAGGGTGCTGCGACCGGTGATCCAGGTAATCAATTTCGAATCAAAATCGGCCATGTTTCAGATGCTCAACTCAAATGGGTAATATGCTGGTCTACCACATGAGGATGCTAGCGAGCATAGTAAATCTTTTGTTCTTATGTGTGCTTCATTCTCACAACAGGGTATTCTTGATGATTCCCTAAAGATGTAATTGTTTACGTTTTCTTTACATAGTAGAGCAAGAACATGGTTCTTAGACCTACTTGCTGGATCCACTATGTTGTGGAACGAGTTGGCTACATAGTTTGTGCTCAGGTTCAACCTGCCCAGAATGAATGGGAAGCTACAAAATAATATCACTTATTTTGACCAAGCTAACCATGAGAACGTCCATACTACATGAGAGCGTTTTAAGGATTTACTGTGTAGATGTCCTACACATGGTCTTTAGTAAGAAGCTCAAATTGAAATTTTCTTCAATGGGTTAAATGTACAGACAAGAAACATTGTAGACGCATCTTCTAATGATCCACCATTGGATTGCACATAAAACAATGCTATTATATTCTGAACTGTCTATTCCAAAATGATTATTAATTCCCTATCTCTAGGGAAGCCACAAATAGAAGCCCTCCAGGTGTTCTTGAGTTGGATACCATCTCAGCTCTTGGTGTTGATGTCTCTACTCTCATAAATCTTATCAAGAATATGTAGGTCATTTGTAAGAGAGCACCCATTTAGACGACTAAGTAGATTGAGACTCTAGTTTTTAGTTGCGAGATATACGATGACAACTACAAGTTTGACGATTGTCCCCAACACTTGGAGAATGCTTGCTTCGTCAACAACATGAGGGGGAGTGCTTCTAGTAATTATCATGGGAATAATTCTTTCAACCGCAACCAATCTACTTAGGGAAATCAAGCCCCGATGTAGTAGTCTAATGCTTATAAATATGGGGGAAATCCTTTAAGTAGCTTTGTTCAGAACCTAAATAGTTATAGTCAGCCACATCAATAATACACACAATAATCCTACAAACATCAACTAATGCATTCACAACCAACCTATCAAATCTAGTCGCAACAAAGAATACAAACACAATCTAATTAATTCTAGCATTATGACGTAGCCACATCCAGTCAGTCCAATCTCTCACAACCTTCCAGCCCTACTCCATTAGCCTCGCTGGAAGCTATGATGAATGAACATATTAAGCGTACTGAGGCAATTATCCAAGGAAACTCTTCTTCTATTCATGCCTTGGAAAACCAAATTGCTCAACTTGCTTCCTCTATGAATAGTAGACCATAGGGTAACTTGCCCAGTAATATTCAAAATTCTAAACGAAAAGAACATTGTAATGTAGTCACTTCGAATACTGGGAAGCAAGCACAAACATCTAAGGTGGATAGATGCTCAATTATTGTTGTGAGTACTGACTATTCGTGTAACACCCCATACCTGGTCACGAAGAATAATCGAATAACTGAGTGTACATTAGATTTCGAACTTTTCAGACAAAACAAAAACCATAAGCATGTGTACTGTACATAAGCATTTAAATCTAAAACACACATCATGCAATACATGGCACCAGATGACAAATAAAAATTTAAGCAACATTCGAAACTTGATGCATTGCAAGATATACGCAATTAACTATACAGGGGTAAAACGGTATTTTCACATCATCAAATAATTCTAACTAGAAATACCAATTTAATTTTACCAATATTCATTATTAATCATTAATTAGTGACATGGAAATTTCTAGATTAATCAGACACCAAGTAGGGATCTAATTGAACATGCTTTTCTAAGGACTAAAATGTAAACAATTTGAAAGTCACACAAGAACGAAAAACATGAACTTGAGTCCTTTATTATGAAATTTAGTATGTCAATGTGTGACCGAAAAAGTCTTGTCAAATTCCAAGTGAAGGTCTAACATTAATTAGCAATTCGATTTCTGGACCATTTTAAACTTATATAAACTTCCAAGGGTCAAACTAAGACTTGGGGACACTTAGTACCTTTAATGAATGCAATTTTACATTTTTTTCATCAAGCACACAGTGAAGGGATTGATCCATTGCAAAACAGTAGATTTGAGATCGATCCTTTTTCTTGAAAAAGTGCAGAATTGTCAAGAACATGCATAAATATGCCACCAAACTTTCACATTATCTATCCTAGGGACTATATACATGCTTGGACACCTTCCTACCACATCGTACATGTCAGAATACACTTGTAACATGCTTTATAACACAAGTTAAATCATCTTACAAGGATCTAGCATCAAAAGTCAATCATGGCATAAAAGTTCACTTTTGGCACAAGTCACCTAGTCCAATTATGCATTTTTGGTACATTTAATGCATCATATGAGTCTAACATATTTAGTACAATTAGTTTCACTAGTCTAAGCACGCCAAACACTTCTTAAAGGCATAATTCAACATTTGGTCAATTTGGTATTCAAACTACACATTCATATGAATTCAACATCTTTAACAACAACATCAAACTGACATCATTCTTCATTTCAAATATAGGAATCCAATTAAAACGTTACAATATGATAAGTTCAACAATTCAAAGTTTATCTAAATTCCCAATGGTTCCCACATTGCCATTTTTTAAACCAAATCATATACACTTTATTTAATATTTCATTGCTTGAAAACATTGGATACCTACCCCTTCTCTCTGAATCAACTACTAATCCTCTAAATAAGTATTAAACAACGAGTGTGAGTTGAAATCCTAGTGAACAACTAGCATTCTAAGATTTGCTCACTTTAAAGCTAAAAGAATGCTCATATATGCATTCACTCCTCACTTGTCTTTACCTCAATAATCATGCCATCATGTCATAGTTTTATTTTCATACAATGCACCATAAATGTACACAAAATCCATATTATACACATTCTTTTGATCATCATATATCCAACAACAAATCACATGCACAATTACCTTTTAGGCAAAGTCACACACATTAGACACATAGTTTCTAAGATCAATGGCCTTTTGTTCAAAACATAACTCACTCAGTGGATAAACGAACTCCATACAACTCCCTTTTATTTGTGGACACACTTAGGTTTAAAACCACAACTTTCGGAGTAAACTCAACAAATCAATCTTTCCCCATAATCTTCTCGAAGCATTGCTCAACACACCAACCTTACCCCGTATAATACTTTGTTTACACGCATATAGAAAAGCATAGAGTACTCTTTCCTAGGCATGCCTTTCATATCTAAAGGTTTCATTCAGAACAAATAGACATTTAATCCAAGTTCACAAGAGTGGTTATCAATTGATGCATAGATTATATACATATATACTTTCAAATTACACTTTGAAACACTTATCACAAAATAGTTTTCATGATCAACTTTATATGGCAGAAGTTGCTCACTCATCAATGGATAGTGAAGTTGTTGTTGGGACCGTCGGCTTACCCCATGTCGAGCAGAAACAAAAATTCGACGGTCTCACTAGCGATCCAAGTACGATAAACCAAAATCGGGATGAAAGGATACGAATACTTATAGAGGGTTCGTTGAAAAACAGAAAGGATAATAGTGGCTAATGGTGGTGACGATCGGTTCGAATCGTAAGCCTCCACGAAACCATATCTCAGGTTCTACTCAGTTCACCTGATTGAGAGAAATATTTGTTTTCCCCAAAACTATTTTGAGAAAAACGACTGAAGATGATGTGTAAAATGGCTGCTAGACCTTACACATCTTTTTATATCCAAGTTACCCTAACATATTAGGGATTTTATTATTTTAAATTAATTAAATCTTTATTTAATTAATTCAAATTAAATATTCGGGATAATTAAAACATATGTATATCAAATATACATATATTAACTCTAGATATATTTTAGTAACGTACAAAAAATTGTACATCTTTGCTCATTAATTATTAGAACAATTCTAATATTACATACAATGAGTGACATCTAGCAATATATCATTGTCACCTAAGTTACAAGAAAATATGATTCAACATATTATCTTCGTGATTAACTCTTTTATGTATTACATCCTTCTGTCCTTTATATCTAGAATAGTCACAAGTCTTGGAATAGTCACACTTGTATAGCCCATCTATTGTTTCTTGATATCTAGAGTAGACTTTAATTAACGAATAATTTGTAATATCTCATATCAACTTATTCGAGCATTGCCATGCATTTCTAGTCTCACTGATTCAAGTGATATGTGATATATTTCCTATTATGTAGGAAGAACAAATCCTATCTTAATCATACACACCCACTAAATATATCGAGATATATTCAATAAAAATCTTTATAGAGCAACCAGTTACGGAGCATGTTTATAACTGCATCAAAACATACAACAATACATGTTGGGATATCATTGATCTCAAGTCAGAGGATCATACATATAGTCATCAACATGAGCAATGTTATGACTATCACATAATAATCCAAGACATATGCTCATGGTGGGTCAATCCAATACATTGTTCTCTAATAATATAATCAAGTATCAATTCTGACATCTCTATGTCGATGACAACTCGTTGTCATCAATCAATAAGATGTTAGTCTTAAGCGTATTATTATTGTCCATGCCCATAATAATATTTGACTAGGGATCTTTTAATAATAACAATTACGTTATTATATGACTTTATTATCTTCCAGTTTATGTTAAACAGAGATATATAATTGAAAATAATAGCGGTAATGCCTTTATTCAATAAAATCAGTAAATAAAATGTATCATTACAATCATCATATGATTGGTCGTTGGGCAGACTGTAACAATCACCCACTAGAACTAAGACCAATCACTCACATATCTAATACCGAGTGACTCAGTGTGACGATCATGCCTCTTCTGTGTAAGGGGCTTCGTCAAGGGATCAACAACATTTTCATCTGTGTGTACTCTGCATATTTCAACATCTCCTCAATTTATAATCTCTCAAATGAGATGAAAGCACTAAGGAATATGTTTAGACTGTTGATGAGATCTAGGTTCCTTTTCTTGTGCAATGGCTCCATTATTGTCACAATAGAGTTCTATAGCATCTGATATGCTAGGAACAACCCCTAGTTCTGAAATGAACTTCTAAGTCTAAACAAACTCTTTTGTTGTTTTATTGGCTGCAATGTTTTTAGCCTCTGTTGTAGAATCAACTACTGTGTTTTACTTCAAACTTTTCCAGCTCACAACACCTTCATTAAGACAAAACACATAACCCAATTGCGATCGTGAGTCATCCTTATCATATTGGAAGCCAGCATCAGTATAACCTTTTACACTAAGCTCTTCCTTACCTCTATAGACAATAAATGTATCATTAGTTCTTCTTACGCAACCCAATGATTTTCACCAGGGTTTACCTGATATCGACTCATCATGCTTAAAGCATACGATACATTT